CTGCCAGGACTTCTCAAATATGATGGAGAATTCTCAAATACTTCTGGTACAGGCATGGTGAATTGGATGGACAACTTCAGGTGTGCCATGCCACTAGAATTGGAGAATAAGGGCCTGTGATGGTTTTTCTTTAGTACTGGTATTCTTATGTAACGTCACGTGAGCAAGCCATGACTCATGACTTAGGAAAACTTATGCACCCCTCTTGTTCAGAGTTCTACAGTTTAGTCCTTTAAGCAGAGCAAAATCACAGTTTTAATATAAAACTAGATGCCACAAACATCTTTGCGTTGAGACTGACCACCATGCAGAGACTTTGCAGTGGAATTAATATGTTGGTCTTGGGCAGCTTTGCAGAATCATGTGCAGCAGTTTTGTTCGGGATCTGCTGGAGTGTTTTTCGCAATCTTTATTCTCCTGTCACACGGAATAAAAGTACTATGTCTTGTTAAACACAACTAGTTACTGAAACAGTCTATTTCAAATCATGCTGTTTTCTCCATCCTTTGAAATCATTCCAAGTCTACTCTTCTTCAAAAGGATGCATAAGAGGTAGTTAAAGCACAAGGTATAGGCTAGACTTGTTGAAATTTGTCCTCAACATCTATGAATTAACCTAGTTTTAACCAGGACTTTTAATCTTTTGTGTAAGTAAGTCCAGACAGCTTTACAACATTTATATGAATCCTGGCTAGCTCTCAGGAGGACTCAGGGTTACATGTCAACCAGCTGCTTGTTTCAAACAGAATTGCTTTTAATCTTCAGGGCTGGGGTAAGATTTCTAAAAGCACCTTTCAAAAGAGACCTTAGCATACAGAAACCCTGTTGACGGGCACTGAGAATTAAACTCCTCAGTCATTAACATGCCTTTGAAACCTGTTCTTCTGCTCATGTGTAGATTCAGGTTACTTAAGCAGTAAAGCATCTTTTACTAATCTAGGCATGATTTACTGAGATGTTGGATACACGAATGGGATTGATTCGATGAGAACAATTTACTTGCTTTGTCTGCAATGGTTTAACAGGAGATTGCAAACAAGAGCAAGTAATGTGCTGAATGCCAACAAACTACAACTCCTCTCGGAGACTGGGAAAACTTTCTTACCTGGAGCTGACTACCCTGAATGGGCAAAACTAAAACTTTATTGGAAAGTCCATGGCATAGGCTCATTAAATAATAGAAAGAGCAGAAGTAAATAATTTTCAAATGTACTCCTCATTTTGTGCGTGAAACTCGTGTGATATAAACTGAAAACTGTTGAAGTTGTATATCACTTTGACTTGTCATGCTAAGACTTTATTTAACATATTTCCATTTTCTTCTGCTAAAACCAAACAAAAAGGCTACTTCTGTAGACATTGCTGTGCAGCTTTTCTCGATTTGTCCTCTAGTTCTCTTTTGGTTTGGTTTTGTTTTGTAAAAACATTAACAAGCTTTTAATAAAGTAGTTTTACAAGAGTCAGACAAATAACCCAGGCCACTTCTCAAATGCAAAGGTGCTGATCCCACAGGTTACTGGGTCAATGGTCAATCGTAGAAAATTATTTTTTAAAGGGGTGAAAAAGGCTTGTTCAGCATCCAATTTCCACTTAACCTCAAAAAAAGAGGGTAAGAGATCTTGGGTTACTCCTTCCTTTATTTAAGAAGAGCTTTCTCATGTGACCTGCCAACATATTTTTGTACCACTTAAAAAAAAAAACAACAGGGGGGTGATCACCTGTACCTGAGATCATCAGGGTGGTGTTAGGGGAACACTGGGAAGGCTCTCCACCCTCAGCCTAATGGGCACTAACCACTGCTACATGTTTTCCAACACATTGGAAGGAGAGTTGCTTCCAAAGGACTGCAGGGACCTCAAAAATCCCATCACAGGCTATTACTGAAATCAGGCAATAAATGTGAAAATGTGCAGCCTAAAGAGGAAGAAAAAGGGCTGGGGATGTCTGCAAATCTCCTGCATTTCCATGCTGTTTCTTAGATGTGTGAAGCCCAATGTAAAGGATCTTACTACATGTATGTATGTAGGTGCTAGGTCAGGGCTGGAATATGACAATGCAAAGTATTAGATTTTGTTAGGAATCTCCAGTAACTTATTATACTTCTGGGCCCTCTTTTGGCTAAACATGGTAATGCATATAGCAAAACTAGGAATGCTCAAAGTACGTAACTGGAAAATGTAACTTCAAGCCAAATATTATACTAGCCAGGTCAATGTCTCAAGTCTTTCCCGCATATTTGCATGTAAGAAGCAATGAAATAGAAATTAAAAGAAATAGTTTCTCTATACTGAGGTTCTTATTAGCAATAAGATTAGAGAAAAAACTTTAATCGCAGGACTCAAACCTGTGTGGTGTAGAGTCCATTAAAACACATAAACAATTTCAGAAAAAAAAAAATTTAAAATACAAAATATCCATGTTGTTATAAACTCAGTTTGTATTAAAAAGCCTAAAAAAAGGAAATTTAAAAAAAAAACTTAAAAAAGTAGAAAATTAACTAGCCATATTTTAACAAAATTCCTATTTGGAAAAAAAAAAAAAAAGCATATTTGAAGTATATCCTGATTAGAAATATTAATTTACTAGTTCAGACACTACCTTAAATACCTTTTTCTTTTACCCAGGCAAAGAAATCAATCATCTCTTGTACAGTAATTTTTAGGTATCACAAGTATATCTTTGCAATGGGACAACGAGCACTCTACCAAACAAATCCCATGTACAATTATGGAGTTAGCCAGAACACGTTGGACATGACAACCTTTATCTGAGGGAGAAGAGAACTTTTCTGTAAGGACATGAAGCCATGATGTTCCAAGTAACTTCACACACAGAGAACAGTTCCAGACACATTAAATTTGCTATTATAGATATCTGGTGTTCTTTCCATGATGATATAGCAAGGAATAAATTCAATAATTGGGTCTTGCATTTTCCAGACACTCAATCTTCAACTAGTAGACTGGGCATGAAGTAGCAAAGGATGGATCACATTGATGACATGAGTTCGGAACTCTTCTTTTCTATTAAAACCTCATTTGTCCCTAGCCTGCCTTCCTTCATAGTCACTATGCAGACATGTTTTCCCTTCAGTCTTTCAGGATGTCCATGTGATGATATTTGTTGGATTTGGTTTCCTGATGACCTTTCTGAAGAAATATGAGTTCAGCAGTGTTGGTATCAACATGCTCATTGCTGCCTTCGGTCTCCAGTGGGGAACCCTGATGCAAGGATTTTGGCACAGGAAAGAAGGGAAAATTCGTGTTGATATCAAAAGGTACATGCAAATTTAACAAAACTGACATTTCTATATGCTTTAAGATATCAGGAGAAGTGGTAAACTACATCATCTGTGGGATCAGTCCTCTAAGTTCACTGAAATTTGATTGAGCCTTACTGTCTATCTCTCACTGTTCATCTGTCCTTCACCTCTAAAGGGGCAATACCTGGTGCACTGGGCCAAGGGAACCAAAGGGTGTGAAGAAATGTGAGGTGATACATTCCATGTGGGCCATAGGTCATGTAGAAAAACTGCTTTGAACCTCTGGAGCTGTGGAAGCGGGAAGATTCCCAGCAGTAGCATAGCACCTCCTGCATCCAGCAGGCATGTAAGGATATGCCATTCCATGACACATGGTGTCACAGAAGAAAGGCTGGAATAGTGTGTCTATCCACTCATGAAGTTTTCTCCTACTTCTCAAGGAATGATGTGCATGAGCACTATACTGCAGTAGGTTTTGGACCCCAGTCATGGAATAAGAGACCTCATGAGCAATGTCTCTAGATACTTTTAGTCCTCCTCCTATTCATCTGTCCTGCTTCTACCAAGGTCTCAGAGTGTTTTCTACATCTGCAGTTCTGTTTTCTGAGACAATTTGTAGACAATTTTGAAAGGAAAATCATCCAAACATTACTGAAGGACAAGCAGAAATAATAGAAGTAGCTCCTTAATGCTTACAGATAGGCATTTGTAGAGGGACCCTAAGTTAGTGCCCCTCTGTGCTGCAAGTTTTTGACCAATTTGTTGTTTTATTTATCTTTGCCATTCCCCATAACCTGTTAATGCCAGTCCTTCCTGACAGCTACTGCAAACATGATGCACAGTGACAGAACGGCTTGAAAGGCTTTTGAAATAAGATAAACCATCTCACCAAAGCTAAGAGTGCCCTGTCATCTTTGGAGTTCAAGTGACAGTCAGAGCTGGAAATATCCCTGCACATCTGCAATACATATCTCATCTGACTTTTCACTGTAATTTCAACCAGCTAAGCACACGTATGGTTTAAGCAGGAGGTAATCTTCCCACACTTTTTCCTCAGTAGCTGTCAAGATCTCTACAAAACCCATCTGGAAAGGTTTGATTTAATTTTCATCCACAACGATGACATTGATAATTTTATATTTGAAGAGTTAAAGCCCTATCATTTTGATGATATAACAGGTTTGATATTACAGCCTTATTTCAGATTTCTTGAAACTGATTTTCTTTTTCCCTGTGTTTTTGTTTTGCTTTGCTTTGGTTTTATTCGTTTTTCTTAACTTCAGCATGATAAATGCAGACTTCAGTACAGCAACTGCTTTGATTTCATTTGGAGCAGTCCTGGGAAAAACAAGTCCTGTTCAGATGCTAATCTTGACAATTCTGGAGATCACAATCTTTGCATGCAACGAACATCTAGTTACAGAAATACTTCAGGTACAACCATCTAGCAATAATTGTTTTCTCTTTATAACAAATGCTTTCACTTTGTAATACTTCCAGTCTACATATTCTAGGTTCTAGTTTCTACCATAGAAAATAAACCACTGAAGTCATCCAGACTTCTCTTTCATTAAATCCTCATCTTTATGGTGTATAAAATCTGCAGCATTATTTTGGGTCCCTATTACAGGCCACAGATGTTGGAGCCTCAATGACTATCCATGCCTTTGGAGCTTATTTTGGTTTGGCCGTAACCCTAGTCTTGTATCGTCCTGGTTTGAAAAACAAACATGAAAATGAAGAATCTACCTATCATTCGGACATGTTTGCCATGATTGGTAAGTGAAGTAATAGTGAGTGCTGATCAGTTGTTCATCCATCTTTCATCCCTATGTTTTAATGATTGCTTAATATTACACTGCATTTATTTTCTCAAGTACACTCCTAGGGGCATATTTTTTTGGTTGATGCATGCACAATGTTTTCAGTGACACACATATATTTACAGTTTTCCCTTGGTTAAAAAAAAAAAAAAAAGGAAAAATCAAATTAAAAATGCATTTTCACCGTGCATTTTTGGTGACTCCCTTCTTGTTAAATCTTCTAAGATTCTATATTTCTATATAAATTGGCCATAATTAAAAGTATTGAGCTGTGCCTGTCCCGTTAATGAATGTTAGAAACCATACATCTATCTGTCTGTGAGATCTATTCATAGATCAATTCACCAGCTAAAACTATATAACAACATATATATATGTTATAACAATAGATGATAAAGAATTTGCATGTGAACTGTCTTGCTAATGCATCCTATTCTGGTATGGTTTTCACAGTGGTGGTGAGCTCTGGCAGTGAGTGGGTCACAATGTGTTAACGTCTTCCAGTAAGATTTGGCAGAGACAACGTGTCAAAATCCCAGCTACCAGTGTCAAAAGCTTCTGCATAATCTATTATTTTTTTCAGCATTTTGGCTATTTCAAGTTTCTTATTGATCATCTCCCTCATTTCTTCTGGCTAGTTCTGTTGTGTTGGATCTTTCACACTGAAATACCCCTTGTAACTGAATAGTCTTTTTTCATTTTGATCCAGGTACCCTGTTCCTTTGGCTTTTTTGGCCCAGTTTTAACTCTGCCATTGCATCTGATACAACTCACCAGATGAAAGCCATTATCAACACTTACTATTCCTTGGCTGCGTGTACTGTCGTAACATTTGCCCTCTCCAGCCTGGTGGATCAAAGGGGCAAATTCAGTATGGTGAGAATCACACCTTGTTAAATCAAATCACTCCTCTATAACAAGGATGATTAGGCACATTCCCAATGTCTGTGAGCTATCTGGAGCCTTTGCTCATACTGTGAGCAAAATTAGAGCTATTACACTTCAAAAACTATAATGTAAGATTGGGTCCTGAGACAACACACCCTGCTTAGGTATGTGGTGATTCCTCAGTGGGATCACTGCATCTGGAGAGTGAAAAGCTCTTAGACATTACAGCGATGGTCCTGGTGCCTTGTTCTCTCTTGTCCATAGAACCTGCTGGACCATACAGACATTAGTCCAACACGCAGGTGGAGTTTTGGGTCTTGTTCCAAAGGGTTCCTATGTGAGTTACCATATTGCAATAGCCAGAATAGGTTTCTCAAGGCAACAACCTGTTCCCTGGCAATCTCACAATGCAGGTGCACAACAGGCAAAGCCAAACTAGGTTGGGGCTGCCAGGCTGCCAACCTTTCATCTCCTTGCCCTAAAATCCAGCCCTATGTTTTCACCTACATCTTTCCAGCAGTTGCAGTGTTTACCTAAGCCCAGCTTAAGTGACACAATTCAATGAGCTTGCAGAATTTGCTGCTGCTGTTGTAGAAGACAGTTCTCACTGGCTCAGCCCGGCTTCTTGAGAGTCAGACAAGTATTAGTGACTTTGCAGAAGTTGGACTTCTATAAACTGGCCTCAGTTAAACTGGCTTAGATCAGGTTTGAACCAACACCCTCAACATGTAACAGGGAACCCTATTTTAAATTCCTGTTCATTCTTCATTGAAAAAAATCTCACCTGAAGAAAAGGAAAACTCCTGTATGTAAAAAAAAAAAAAGCCTTCAAAGTCACTCAGCCCTAAACCAAGCCTCTGTTCCACATAGATCATCTCCACCTGTGTATACTCTTTGCAGGTTCTCATTCAAAATGCCACCCTGGCAGGAGGAGTAGCAGTGGGGACCTGTGCTGACCTGTCAATCCACCCTTTTGCTGCCATGTGCATTGGGATCATTGCTGGAATCATCTCCATCCTTGGGTTCCACTTCCTAACTGTAAGTATTGAGGACCCACGTCTGCTCTCATTTACTTATTGCTTCATTGGCTTTACTGAAGCTCCCTTGGTTTGATAGAAAGGGAATTTAGAAACTGGCTGATACAGTAAGGATAGAAAGCTCTAGATAACGGTTATTTTTAAATCAGTGTGATTTAAATATATGCTTATGAGCTAACTTCAGTTCATCACCTAGCTAAAAACAGAGAATGATCATGAAGATATTAGAGTTCATTAAAGTCTGAATTTCTGTTCAAGGAGCTGCCAGATTTTTACTCCAAGCTCAAGTTTCAGTGAAATAGGATCAATTACAATTCAGTCCTAAAATTTCTAAATAGGTCTGTAATCAAAAAATACTTTTTCAGTCTAAAATGGAATTGTTTCATGTGCAAAATGTAGAAACAAAATATTCTGACTAAAACTGTTTAAACTGCCATTTAAACATGGAGAAACATTCTGGAAGAAAATATCTGACCAGCAGACTCGGAACAGGCGTGTATATGTTACTTAGGCACCTCTCTCAACCTTTGCTGCAGTGGCTGAAAAGATTAGGAATATCAGTGGACTGTCATGTGTTTTGTACCGTTATATTTAGGATAGTAGCTTGGACATTTGTACTGCTATATGTACATAGTTGGTTTTCTCTGCATATAAACAATTTCACAGTGAAGGGAAAGACAGCAGGTTTTATAGCTAAACTTTGCATACATGAAATGTTAAATTGTTTCTTGTACTTCTGCACTAGTTTCTTTCGCATATCATTTTAGAGATAATGGAAAATCACTATAAACTTCATATTTCCCCTCATTTCAGCCTTTGTTGGCATCCAAGCTGCACATTCAAGACACTTGTGGAGTTCATAATTTACATGGTTTACCTGGAATACTGGGCGGTATCGCTGGCATTGTAGTAACTGCCATAAAAGAAGAAACTAGGTGAGTTATAGAGAAAAGAGAGAAAGGAATTTATTGATTTTTGAAGGTCTATACTAATTTTCCACCTTCTTTGGATCTAATTATGATACTTTTTTTCAGAAAATGCATCTTTGATTTGATGATCAGACACTGTGTTCTGGTTTAAATAGGACTCTTCTTGATATCCTGCCTTTCACACACTGTTTATATGCCAAGCTTATTCCAAATTAAAAGATCAAGTAAAGATAAATAAATTAAAAACATCATAAAAAGCAGTATGCAGAACCATTCAAATGTAGAAGAATCTTTATTATGATTCTATAATTACAGTGCTGGTAACAGTAAGATTTCCAAGAAAATTGGCAAAATGGACTATTTTCACTATCTTAAAAGACCCCAAGAAGATGAAATGTTAGTCTTTTTGACAAAGGCTTGCAAGATACTAATAACCTTTTCAAGTAACTTGTTTTCTTCTGTAGCCTAAAACAAAACCAAAATAAAATCATGGTTTCTGTCTTGTACAAGACAATGCAATATCCTGCAATGGCAGGATATTTTCCTATGAGCCATCCTGTCCAGCAGACAGCAAGTACAATTATCAGTCTCAAAATGTAACAAGTTTTTGATTGTTAATGGTTTATTTTTCTACCTTTTCAGGCAAGGTGTCCAATTTACTCCTGGCAAGCAGGCTGCTGCCCTGGGCAGTACAATTGGAATTGCACTGGTGGGTGGAGCATTGACAGGTCAGTATGATGCGTATAGCAACTGAAATATATGTGAATTTAGAGGTTTGCCCATGGAGAACCTCAATGTATCAACAATTTAATGTGAATGATACAAAACAGAAAAATAGAAATAATGCAGGATGGCACAGTGGCAGAAACTTAAATAGGGAAAAGCAGTTTTCCAATAATTTTGTCTTCAAATGAAGCCTAGATATCTTACTGAATCATGCTTCAAAGATACTGAGTTGTATATATAGGAATAGTAAGATGTACTGGATGGACTTCTCTAGATTCAGACACTTAAAATTCTGAACAGAAACTAGTTTGAGATTAAGACATATTCCTTTTGGTGTCACATGTTTCCATGTGATTCTGGGTATTTTCCAAATAAAAATTCAGGCTGAAATAGAAAATTCCACTCTCAAGTCTGAGAAAGGTTTAAGCAATTAAAAACCAGCTCTTATTCATGTCAACATGAAGAAATCTACATCACCTCTCATAATGAGTGACCTGATGTCCCAAGATGGTTGGGCATTTGTGTAGACTAGGAAATGAGTCTTAAACCTTAGATAACTCCCCAGGGCACACCTTGGGCATTTTTTTAATATCTGATGATTTTTTTTGCTTCAGGTGGTATTCTAAAGCTGCCCTTCTTGGGACAAGCATCCGACCAGAACTGCTTTGATGACTCTGTTTATTGGGAGGTAAGATAGAACCTCCCCTTATTTTCATTATGTTGGAAGATGTGCAGCACACTGCAGTACTGCTCTCCTGGGGTTTGCAGTTTGCACACATGAGCCAGCTTTCAAAAATGTTGCTCTCCCTTAGGCTGTGAATTTATCAAGATGACCTTCAGGATCTTTTTTGGACTTGCTAGCTAGTCATGCTGTTTACATTGGACTAACCTTGAACAAAAAGCAGAAATAGAGCCAACAAATTCAGACCTCAGTGGAGCTCTTTATCTCTCTTTTAAGTGCTTGCTGTGTCAGGTATCCTCTTCCTTCTTGTAGCTTAGACATATGACATTTGCATTTTTGGCTAAATGGTACTGCTTTTCTAGTGTCATCCAGAGTTTCATATTGAATGAAATTTAGAGTACTTCTTCAGTATTTGTAGGACAAGTCTCCCTTAGGCTGAGCAGAAGCTCTTCTGCTTCATGGTTGAATGATCTGACCACTGAGGTTAGCAGAAGAAGACAGGCCTCCTGGCACTATTGTTTTATTTATGAAGACACAAATAATGGGGCTGAGAAACAAGTACATCTGAAACAGCCCTGCTAGGCTCCCTTTACGCTCAATGAAGAAATGGCCCTAGATTGCAATTCATTTGAATCCTTCCAGATCTATCTTAGGTTACATGAATTAAAACCTTGAAAGTCTCTATATTCCCCACTGATAATGAAAGACCTTTCATTGCCTACCTCAAATGTAGAGCTCTATAACATAGATCAGTTTGATCAGCTGAGTTCCACATACTTCTCCGAGATGAACGCCTACAACCAAGTGCAGAGCAGAAACTCAGACATACCTTTCCTCTTGACTAATCTAAGAAGATCCCTGTACTGTTTGAGGGCTTGCTGCATCTCCCTTAATTAGAGACTGATGACAGATTCTTAATTTAGGCAATCTGAATTTTATCCTTTATGCCAGGACAAACTCAAATAGGCCAGACAAGAAGAAATACATGATATACATTCCTTGTAAATAAAATGTTGTGAACCCAAAAGGAGATACTAGTTTTTTAATGAATTAAACTCCATTATGAACCACACAACTTGGCTTTCAGTGAAAGAAAGTTTGTAGTCTAAGGGGAAGTTTTGAGCCAAAAGATCAGCTGTAGCAATGACAATCAGAAAAAATGACAGCTCTGCAAGTCATTTTCTGTTTGACCTTGGGAAAGTCAAAGCACTGGTTTTCAGCAAGACCTGATATAGGCTGTCATATGTAAATGATAAAAAATGTCAGGAAAAGGAAAGTTTTACAGTGTGGCTGAAGAATTCAGAGCCTGTGTTGACCAGTGATAATAATACAATCCTCCTCAATTGAAGGTCCTGCAGTATCAGTAGAACTGCTCAGAAATATTCTATTCTAAGTGAGCTTTATCAGGTAATAGGAAGGGAAATTTATGTTTAGCATACAATATTGTTCACATTTCATTAGAGATGGTCACCTTGTTTCTTTAGAGCTCTCTGAAAATCCCAGGTATTGATTTTGCACTCTTGTAGCTAACATCAGTGTTAAGGAATTCTTCTATTAAGAAAACCCTGAATTCATCCCTCAGAACTCAGAACTGGTGGTTCATGTAAGGGTGGGTCAATGTTAGTAAATAGACACATAATATACACAAACAGAATTACATTCTCAGTGCACTTTAGTCTCCTTTTATAGCAAAAGAAAGTCTGTATCTCATCAACTGACTCTTCTCTGAATTTCATGGCAGGTTCCAGAAGAGGAGAAACTACATGAAATTCACTCCAACAACCATGATGAGCACAGCAGATTTGAAGCCACCATGTAGAAAAATAATTCAGCTGTAATATTTGTCCTAATGATGCTCTTTTCAGTTTCTAAAACTAAAAACCAACATCCAAGTATTGTCCTAACCACACTAGGTTTTCAAGAAGGGGCCATAGATAGTTATATTTTTGTAGTATAAAACAAACTTGATACATAGTCATTATGCTAAGCTCAGGTGAATTAGTTAGATCTTTCCAATATATTTGTTCATCAGAAAAACCCACCACAGACTGCTCTACAAAATTATCTGTATTTTACCTTTTGTCGTCACTGAGTCAATATAGCCACTGAAAGAACCTTTGTGTTTCAAGCCTATTACAGGATAGGCTGATAGGCAAGATTTCTGAGTTACAGTTACATCCTTCAACTGCATACAGGTAATCAAGAAGAAATGGCTTGATATTGTTTATTTGGATTCTAACAAGCTTTTCACCAGAGCATCCCAGATTAACTTTTTTAGAAAGTGTGTTGTCCTATTTTTGGGTGGGGGAAAAAATGTACTATATTTTGAAGATTGTTTATGACAGGAAACAAAATGTTGAAATAATTTTCAAGGAAAAGAGCACAATATAGCAATTTATGAGGTATAGTATCAAGAGTCGTTGTTAACATGTTTATCAAAAGAGAGGAGAAAGTGAAATGATGAAAAATTTCATTATTGGTATAGATATATTTAGACTGTTTCAAGGACACAGTAAGGGAATTAAGTAGGAGCTGTGAAAAACAGGTAATTACATAGAAGTATTATGTTATATGTCTTATTATGTCCAACTGCAATAAGTGGATATTAGCACTGGTAATGTGAATAGATATAAACTGACCCAAAAGCTAACTCCAAGAAAAAGCGTGAGCTGTTAGGAAATGGTCAGAAAGCAACTATGTTCAACCTACAGAAGACTCAGTGGAGAATTTCTGTGCGGTGAGTTGCCACCTTTGAAGTCATTGCCTCCTAAAACAAGAGAAAGCATAAAGAAGAAAATTAAAGCTAAATTAAGGTAAATTAACTCCACCTGAGAAGTGATGATAATGGCTGCCCAATTCAGAAAGACAAAAATTGAGGTATATCTGAAGGAACTCTATGAGATGACAGTAGCTGGGAGCAGAGTCACACATATGTGCCTACCTACATGGGGTAATCCATTGGGAGGCAATGGATAGGAGATGAAAATCTAACAGAAGGATCACAATGCCTCTAGGCATTATGCAGACACAGAAAGATACCACTGATGTCTCAGGACAAGCTACAGTGCATGAACTTTCAAGACTTCTTTATATTAGCATCTTATTTCAATTCTTACTTATCAGATTTAAGGTGAAAACGCCTCTCATAAAAATAGCTTAGATATTTTCAGTTCTGCTGATGTATTTTTCCTTGAAAAACTTTAGAAAAATATGAGGCAGGGCTGTCCCATATGTTATATCAGCTGTATACTGCTATATACGTCAGATTTCTATCTATGAATGAAAATACATTTGTTGTAACACACTTTAGTTCAGCTACGCTCTTTTGCAGATGTGCAATGACTGACTCTTTTCTACCTTGTTGGCTAGAAGACATCTTTTATCCTTTCAAAGCTTTCACACCTGAGAAAGCATTTAGCAACGTAAATATTGCCTATGTAAAGATTTTAGAAGTATTTTGTGGATAATTTAAAAACACAAAGTATTGAAGTGCTTAAAAAAGATTCCATCTGTAGACAGACTGTAAAAATCTTATCCTTGATACATGAAGCTCACCCCTCAAAATCCTACTTGGGGATTCAGAGGATCTTTCATTCACCTACAGCTGTGAGGTAATTTCACTGATGGTGAGTGTTGACCACAAAGGTGAAAGTGAGTGAAAAAGTACCACTCACTGTGAGTAAATCTTTCAGAATGATGCCCTCAATAGTTATCTTTAGTCCTTTAAAACAAAAGGGGGGGAAATAAACTATGCAGTTTTGTTTTCCGTTTCTCATAATCTTTCCATAGTATCCCAGACTCTCATCCACTAAGTACTCATTTTTGTCCTCTGCCTTTTTTCAGAAGGTTAACCCTCCAGAGAAATCAGTCCTTCAGGTTTTCTTAAAAAACAGAGTAGGGAGATAGATCGCTTTACACGGTGATTTACTCCACCTAACCTAGATATCAGTTTCAGGAAATTCTTTGTTTCCTTCTTGACAAAGAAGGACCCTAGAAGTAGGGCCTGTAGCGATAGGACAAGGAGTAATGATTTTAAACTAAAAGAGGGTAGATTCAGACTAGATGTAAGGAAGAAATTTTTTACAATGAGGGTGGTGAAACACTGGAACAGGTTGCCCAGGAGGTGGTAGATGCCCCATCCCTGGAAACATTCAAGGTCAGGTTGTACAGGGCTCTAAGCAACCTGATCTAGTTGAAAATGTCCCTACTTATTACAGGTGGGTTGGACTAGATGACCTTTAAAGTTCCCTTCCAACCCAAACTCTTCTATGATTCTACGGTTCTAAGCCTAGCTTAGCCTGGGAAACTATATTTTAGATGGCTAAAACCATGTGAGGAGTATACGACTTTAATAACTGGAAGAGGGATTACAAATGCATCTCTGAAAAAAACTTTGATAGGTCCATTCTGATGTTCACAATACTCAAAAACTCATGAATAATACAGAAAAAACATTAGGACAATTAAAAATGTAAAAAGCATGCGTTGTAAAAACATCAAATATGAAATAAGACTGGAAGTGACCTCTTGAACAACATAGTGCACCCAGATGACTAAACCCTCATGTGAACTTAAGTTAAATGAACGGGACGTGAGAAACTACAGCCAATGTATGAGAAAATTGCTGGACGTGACAGGAAACACTCTGAAAAGAATTACAGGTAACACCATGAAAAGTGAGTTATATGAGAAATGGCCTAATAGCACAGATAATTGTAGGGGAGAATTGGGGACCTTCTGGAGAGTATAAACTTGAAAGGCCAGCAGTGCCCCTGTAAGCATAGCTGAAATACCAAACTCAGGTACAGATGTAGCAAATCTGAGGCCAAAAGAAAATTTAATTAGTAGTGGGCAAAGATGGGGAAGGCAAAGAAATAGGAAAAAGGACAACAAGGTATGAAAAAAAATCTGCAATAAGGGCTGTCTGGGTATCAGGCAGTCCTGAGATAGATCACTGCATCCCAGAGAAAGACAATAAACCAAATCTCTTGCTTTGATCATCCTCCTGTGGTCTCCCTGTGGTCTCCCTGTGGTCTCTCCACCCTGCTATGGTGGAGAGGTGCTGATCATGCACAACCCAAAATCCACTCATTACCCATGGTCAGAAGCCTTAGACAAGTGCCTCAGCTCAAGACAGATAAATCCAGGCCTTATGGTTTGACTGCCCTGTATGAAAAGGTTGGACACAGAATTTTCCCAGCATGTTTCAGACTGCTTTTCAATCCAAATAGACTCTATGCAACAGAAGGTGCACAAAGATCGCTCACTTCTATACTTCAGAGGTCAGTGTCATTTGGTTCTCTGTCTGAGGGCATTTTCTTCAGTTGGTTATCTCCAAATTAATCAAAGCTTTGAATACCCCGAGTCAGTAGAGCTTCTTTTGTGCATACTTACAACTTAGGTGTAATATGTTACTCGACACTATGGAGAGGTGTCTGGACTTACTGAAGCTTAAAATGTTTTGCTGAGAACCTTTTTGCTCACCAATGATGAGCCATACACTGGTGGAAAGGAAAGGCAAGGAAAGGCAAGGAAAGGTGGAAAGGCATGGCAAGACAAGGCAAGGCAAGGCAAGGAGGAAAGGAAAGGAAAGGGATGAGGACAGGAGCTCATCTGGGGCTTCTCATGGCCCAGCTGAGCCTCCTGCTGCAGGTGGGTGGCCCCTACCTGCAGGGTGCTGCAGTCCTTGCCAGGGTTGCCCCATGGTCCTTGCCTGGGTGGCCCCATGCTCCTTGCCAGGGTGGCCCCATGCTCCTTGCCAGGGTTGCCCTGCAGTCCCTGCTGTGGTGGTCCTATGCTCCTAGCCTGGGTGGCCCCATGGTCCTTGCCTGGGTGGCCCCATGCTCCTTCCCAGGGTGGCTCCGTGGTCCTTACTGTAGTGGCCACGTGGTTCTTGCCGGTGTGACACCTTGGTCCTTGGGGCGTCCCCGCAGCACACGCCATCCCCAGGAGCTGTAACCCACCCCATGTCCCCCACAGGGCCCGTGGGCTTCCAGTCCAACAACATGCCACTGATGGCCGGCATGTTCACCTCCATCGGTACGCTCAGTGCTCCGGCCGGCGCCCGGGTGCTGGGGATGTCCCTGAGGCGCAGAGCCCGGCCAGGAGAGGAGGCGTTCGGCTCTCGGCCCCTCTGGGGTGGGGTGGGCTGGGGGAGTTGCTGGGGCTTGGGACTCACCGGGCGCTTTCCCTCGCAGCTCAGCCAATGTCCCAGCACTGGTGCCGGAGCCACAGCACCTACACTCGTGGACCAAGAGGAAGTTGCCAATGCCGTGGCCGGACCCATGGCCGTAGTTGAGTCCCACGTCCCAGAGCGCCCGACAGGTGAAGGACTCCACCGTTCTCCCTGGGGCATGCGCTTTCCCCATCCCCCAGAGCCCGGGTACTACCGGGACAGTGAGTTTGGGATCCGCATCGAAGACGTTGCCCTTGTGGTGGAGGTGCAGACCGAGGTAGCACGACAGGGCTGGGCAAGGGGGTGGCACGGCACGGGGGG